CCCCCGCCCCCGGCGGCCAGTCCCCCGCCTCAGCCCGGCACACGCCCGCCAGTCAGGGGCACCGTTCCGAGGCAATCCTTGCCGGTGCAAATCCCCCGAGGCTTCTCTCCGCCAGAGCGTAGAACAAAATTGCCGGTTCCCCTGAGTTTTTGTCAGGCTTTGCTGGCGCTCGGGAGCAGGTAAGGCGGCTGCCGGCTGCCAGCGATCCCCGCTGCACTTGCAGCGAGCAGCAGGAGCCGGTGGAAGTGGGAGTGTGGTCTACTCTTCATTAGGGAGGGGGGAAAGGACCCTGGAGGTGATGCAGTGAAACACTTCTACTCCCTTGCATTGTGTTTGTCACAGACCACGGGCGCTCTCCTTTTATAACATTCACTTCAAGCATTCTCAAACCCAACCGGAATAAGTTCTGATCCTCCCCTTTAGTTTACATTGGGGTTGTCAAAGGATTAAATAAATGAAACTTTATTTGACCGTGGAGTTTGCAGACCCTGGGATCCCTGCGCGCTCTGGCCTTATTCTAATTCTATAGCGGTAATTACCCTTCGTTTCTTTAAGTGCAATAGATTTATTGCCTTAGAGACTATGCACAGTTTGATTGAATTATTCATTTTTTTTCTTTGGTGTAGTCTGCATCTGGGGACTGATGTGACGTGTAGATTTTTTTTTCAGGAACAAAGGGAATGTGGAAATGAAAGAGAGAGGGAGAGAGAGGCTGGCAGATGTGATGAGATGCGGTGAAGGTGTATCCAGCTTGGCACTCCCACTCCTCTCTTCTCCTCTCATTGCAGCCCTGGGTGACTCTCAGGCTAACACAAACAGCTTTTCTTCCGCAGCCTGCCCTCTGTCACTGTAAGTACAACAGCCTTCTCTTATCAGCATGCAAATTCCAGCCACTCACTACCTTAGCCTGGTGTTTGCACTTTAGATTTACAGAGGGGACCTTTAAAATGAACTTTCCGAGACAGGAAGGGGTTTTCATGTCGAACTTGCTTTTATTTTCTTTGTAAAAGTTTATGTGGTTTTTCCAGTTCTCTCTCCCCCCCCCCTTTTTTTTTTTTTTTTGAACGGCGGGGGCGTGGAGCGGGGATATTGTTGCTGCGGCTTTTTCCTTCGCTATCAAGATGATGCACAGTTTAAAATGAAATTAAAATCTCCTTGATCCTCTTTCTGCCAAGACAATACATTTTGTTGGCAGATGACTCTGTAAGGAATTCAGAGTTTTTGTTTTCAGGCAGATCTTGAGCTTTGGGTGTTACAAAATGCAAACGTCCCCTGAATTTGGAGTTCGCTAGAGGTTCTTGTTCTAGGGGAATTCGTATCAGCTGATGGGTTTGCTTTTGAAGAAACGTGCAGTAATTTACTTCTAGCTAGTCTAACAAAACTTTTTCCCAATCGGATTATCAGGCTTTAACTTCTTTCCCTTTAGCTTTCTCTCAGATGCTGTTGATTATTTCGCAAAAGTTTCTCTGAACATCTTCAGCAAGCCTGTAACATGCCTTCATTGTCGGACAGTGTCCGCAGAGGGAATTTATAAACATGCCTCTTAATTGTCCGGCATTAACTGGGGTGAGAGGGCAGTTTAGAAGTGGGTGAATGACTTTTAAAGTGAAATTCCTTGCCCTTTGAATCCAAAACTTCTGAGACTGTTCCGCCAACTCTCCAGGAGTTGCAGGTTTGCTGCTCAGGTTAAAGATGCGGTACGTACAACTTAGCACACTTAGACAGCTCGCCTCTCTTGTTGAATATTGCTTTACTTTAACGCATTTAGTGACACACAGGGCGCAAAATGCAATGACAGCTGTGCACAGGTAAGTGCCTCGACGTGATGTGAGCGCCTGCGGTCCCTTCCCTGCGCAGGGACCCCCAGCAGGTCAGCATCCCTGCTCAACATCTGCCAGCCTTTAGCCTTCCTGAAGCCAAAGCAAGGACAGTAATTCCAAACGCGGTTTCTAAACGTGGGGTAACACTCCAAGGGAAAGCATTTTCTTGTTTCTCGGCACGTGTATACGGATCCGCACGGCGGGTGTTCACTTATGCAAACAAAGAGGGAATCACAATTATCCCCGTGCAGCGCGCACATACACGCGCACACACACACACACACACACACACACATTTGCATACAATGCCCAAGGAATCCACTTCTCCTGCCGCGGAGAAATTGCCGCTCTCCGGCACTGTGAGTTACATCTGAAACTTAATTGATCACACAGGGGAAGCAACAAGCTGGAGAGCATTCCTTGCACTCCGCATGGCAGCGTGGCCGCATCCTTGCTGCGTCCTGCCCCAAGCCAGTGTCATTCTCTGCACTGGAATTTCGGGAGTGCAGCGGGATGCTCCCCCGATTCGGAGCTAGGTGGGCGGTTAGATTTATCTGATGCCTTAATTATCTCTTGTCCCATTCCCACTTCGTATTTAATAAGGCGCTACATTTGAGGAGTGCTTGGGTTTTTTTTCCTTTTCTGTTTCTTGGAAGAAAAAAACTTCCAGCAACAAATCACTAGAGCTGCAGACTGAGGCAGACTATTCGTCCTTGTATTCTGATTTACATCTCTTTTCTTACATAGCTCATTTTAATTGTTTTTTCTTTTTAAATCTTCTTGCCCGCCAAAGCCACACTAGTTGTGCAAAAAGTCAAGGTATTTCCTTTATTTGCAGCAGGTTCAAATGTGTTATAAGGAAAGCGTTAGTGGTCAATCACGGGAATTCTTATAATTAAAGATTAAAAAGGACAGAGCAGTATCTTGAAAGGCAGCTATTTAATTCCATACACCGGGTAACTGCAGCAAGGTGAATACTTTGAATTGGCCGGATGCAGGTGAATACAAACTCAGTATTTACAATCATACAATTTCCCCTCATCTCTGAATTTCGCTTTTTTAGTATCTTTTATTAAAATTGAAAGAATGCATGGAAATTAGCTACTATACCCTCATCCAGCTAATTTGATGATAAACCTTTACTAGGTAATTATAAAGTTATATTTCAAGGTGCTTGCTCCTTGCTGAATAGGACTTGGTCATTCCTTCTATTGTAGTGGAATTGACAAAAATATTGTATAAAACAGGTCCACTATTCCAAGAGGTTCATGACTTACAACTCCTTTGCCCTGAACTCGGCTCGAGAGGGGTGATAGCACCTCGGATAGCAAAGGCAGAGGATGGATGCAACGTGCATGACTCGAATAGTGTGTCGAGTTTTACAGCTTGTTAACAAAATGAAACAGAGCCAGGTCATATCTGTCCTGTGCCATCGCGTTAATGCTCAATTTTCATCACGTCTTGCTGAAGCCAGGTTCATTTGCAGCGGGGCTGAGTGTGCTTCGGGGTCTAACCTAGTCTGCAAATTTGTACTTCACAGAGAAGGAAAGCAAAATCAGACTCTCTCCTCGTCTTTTTGGCCTCTATAAGTTATGAATCTATTTTAAAATTAAAAAGTTTGTCTGTTACTAACTGTTCCAGGCGCCTTCTGGAAAATGGGGAGAAAGTGCCAAAAATACAGAGATGAATCAACAACTTCTCTCTCTCTCTCTCATTTTGTGGGCTTGAGGTTGCTTTCCGCACTCCCATCTTAACAACAGTTTAGCCTAGGTGTGAATAATATCAAAAGAGGGAGACGTTCTCTCTGCAGCGCTGTTTGCCCACCTGATCTGCGGGCCCCTGACAGTTTGAAAGACTCTTTTATGTTTACCTTTGGAATGCAAAAATACAGTAGGGAGACTTTCTTGGGTTTGCAGTACTCTGCCACTGGCTTTCTCCTCAGCTCCTTATAGTTTTCCCTTCTTTCTCCCAGATCTCCCCCCTTCCCCCCACTCCCCATCCCCAATTAGCACTTCCAAGAGAGCGTGAGTTTCCTAAATTGGTATTCAAGCTGATATTCCAGTCCTTATCTGTTGCCTTTTGGTAGGCAGAGAGAGGGATATTTATATATTGCCGCTGCTAAAATTTCTCGTCGTCGCCACGAGAATCCCAACTTCATCTCGAGTCCGTCCTAAATCAGTTTTTCCTCTCTGGCCATACCTGTCTTTCCCTTTTCACCGCACTCACTTTTCACCTTTCCGCCGAATCAGTCACTAGTTTGTGGACTCTGAGTGCCTTCTCTCCCCTTCCTCTCCCCCGGGTTCCTGTAGCTGGATTCTCATCTCCGGTATAATTTATACTTTCCATTTTATCTCTCCCCTCCTTTTTTTATTTTATTTTTAATTTTTTAATTTTTGTTTTTCGCCTCCCGGCCGTGCTGTGGGATCGGGCTCTTCAGAGACCCATTTATCAGCTGTCACTAAGCGCTTGCAGAGTGCTTCCCTCTCGTCGTCCCCGCTCCCTCCCCACACCGCCAGCTCTTCCCTCCTCCTGCACATCGTCTTTCTCCGGCTTTTTTCCCCCCCTTGTAATTTGATTTTTCTGGGGTATCCCGTGAGCCGGCGGGACTCTCCCGGCGTGTGTGTCCCCAGGCAGCGCAGCGGGCGGAGGGCGGGCCGGCCCCG